CATTAGCACTGCTATGTTTGATATTTATATGCTATTTCCCTAATTTGTAAAAAAAAAAAAATTACACTCTTCTTAGTGTTTTACTTGTAAACTTTTTTCATTCAAGATTTTGGAACTGCAGCAGAAATTAGAACATACTCAGAAACTCTGTCTCACAGACACTTATATTTTAGAGAAGAAGCATCTAGAAGAAAAGTTAAAAGAAGTGATAGAAAATGAAGCCAAAGTAAAGCAACAATATCAGGAAGAACAAAACAAAAGGTAAGAGGAGCAGAGACCTCAGTTTTCTGTGGATTTAACCATGACTGAGTTCATTAGCAATGTCACTTTACTCTTACAGTGTATCGGAGAACATTTCTGTTCTGTTTCTACTGAAGTAATCTCAGTCTCACAATTTATACATAGCACTTACCACACTGTATTCTAACTATTTATTTTTTTGTTCACCTCTGGCACTAGGATGCGGGATACTTATAGGCGTTAATTATTTCTTGTTGCTCTGGGACACACCTGGTACACTGGTCAATTTTCTTGAATGATTGGATTGCCTATGAGATATGATACTATGGGTTTTGCTTTTCTAACTCTGTGACATGATAAGCACAAAATTTAGACTATCTAAAACTGGTATTTTGTACAAGGGAACTTTATTTATGTATTTATTTGTTTGTTTTTGAGTGGGAGTCTCACTCTGTCACCCAGGCTGGAGTGCAGTGGCATGCTCATAGCCACCACAGCCTTGACCCGCTGGACTCAGGCGATCCTTCTGCTTCAGCCTTCCAAGTAGCTGGAACCACAGGTGCTTACTACCATGCCCGGCTAATTTTTTTATTTATTGTAGAGTCAAGGTCTCCCTAAGTTTCCCAGGCTGGTCTTGAACCCCTGGATTCAGACAATCCTCCCAAAGTGCTGGGATTACAGGTGTAAACTACCATAGTTGGCTTACAAGGGAACTTTAAAAAGTTAACAGAAAAATGGAGTTTTAAGATAAAAATTTAAAAAACATAAATTATATTTCCCAACAGAAGCTCTAGCAAGGTTAAGACACTTTTGTAAGCAAAGATGCCAGCCGTAAGGCCGAGTGCAGTGGCTCACACCTATAATCCCAGGACTTGGAGAGGCTGAGGTGAAAGGATTGCCTGAGCCCACGGGTTCGAGACCAATTTGAGCAACTTGGCAAGACCTCATCTCCACAATAAAAAAAAAAAAGATGTCAGCCGTTTATTGGTATAGTTAGTTCAGCCCTAAAGAACCTGAGTGAGGGTCCTGGGAATTTGCCCATGTCAATGCAGCCTTTTTTTACGTTATTAACTGAAGAGAACAATGTGCCCTTTAAAGACTTTTTAAGATTAGGAAACAAAAAGAAGGCAGAAGGAGCCAAATCAGGACTGTAAGGTGGATACCTCATCATTTCCCATCGAAATGCTTGCAAAATTAGCTTGCAAAATTACTCTTGTTGGATGAGAGGAATAAACAGGAACATTGTCCTGGTAGAAAAGGACTCTCTGGTAAAGCTTTCCTGGGCATTTTTCTGCTAAAGCTTTGGCTAACTTTCTCAAAAGACTCTCATATTAAGAAGCTGTCAAGCCGGGCTCGGTGGCTCAGCCTGTAATCCCGCGCCTTTGGGAGGCTGAGGTGAGTGGATTGCCTGAGCCCACGGGTTCGAGACCTGCCTGGGCAGCGAGACCTCATCTCTACAATAAATCAAAAAATTAGCTGGGCGCGGTAGCACGTGCCTGTAATTCCGGCTACTCGGAAGGCTGAGGCGGAAGGATCGCCAGAGCCCAGCAGGTCGAGGCTGCGGTGGCCGGGAGCGGCCACTGCACTCCAGTCTGGGCGATAGAGTGAGACTCCAACTCAAAAATAAAAATAAAAAAAAAAATAAAAAAAAAAAGAAGCTGTCTTCATTCTTTGGCCCTCCAGAAAGTCAACAAACAAAATTCCTTGAGCATTCCAAAAAACTGTTGCTGTGACCTTTGCTCTTGGCCATTTCACTTTTGCTTTGAGTGGGTCACTGTTATCTATTGGTAGCCATTGCTTTGATTGTACTTTGTCTTCAGGATCATACTGGTGAAGCCATGTTTCATTTCCTGTCTCCAAAGAAATGGCTTCAGAATCTTGATCCCACTTATTTAAAATTTCCAATGAAAGCTCTGCTCTTGTCTGTAACTAATCTGAGTACAATAGTTTAGGCACACATTGAGTGGAAAGTTTGCTCAACTTGAATTTTTCAGTCAGAGTTGTGTAAGATGAACCGATTGAGATATTTATGGTATTGGCTATTGTTTTTGCTGTTAATTGTCAGTCCTTTTCAATTAGGGCATGAACAAGATTGACTTTTCATAAATTGATGTAGATGGTCTGCCACTGTGGGCTTTATCTTCAACATTATCTCTTCCCTTTTTCTTTTTTTTTTTTTATTATGTTGTTGTGGGGTACAGTTAAGGGTTAGGTATACAATTACATTTCATCTCTTCCCCTTTTCAAACAACTAATTCCATTTGTAAACTGCTGCTGTCTGAGGGGCACTGTCCCCATAAACTTTTCTTAAAGCACCAATTAGTTCGCCACTCTTTTACTCCAACTTCACCATAAATATGATGTTTGTTCTTCCCTCAGTTTTAGCAGAATTTATGTTGTTCTAATAGTGGCTGTTTTCAAACTGATGTCTTATCCTTCTTGTTTCCTCAAACTAGATCCTGGTCTGACATGTTATATCATGTTACATGTTATATCAAGTTTGTACAAGTTTATTTTGAATCCTTGCATAGGTTTTGTTTGTTTTGTTTTGTAGAAACATCTCAAACTCCTGGGCTCAAGCAATCCTCTTACCTCAATCTCCCAAAGTGCTAGGATTACAAACATGAACCACCGTGCCTGGCCATGCATAGTTTTTTTATAACTTACATTTTCAATGAACTTTTTGAAGAACCCTCATATTTATTAGCTGATTTTCTTCAAAGTTGTTCCAACTACTTTACTGTCATCTTAATAATCAATAAAGTACTACCAGATAGGAGCTGTCATATAATTACTTTCTAAAATGATTAGATTATTATGCTGATTCTTACTTTTTTTTTTTTTTTGAGTTGGAGTCTCTCCATCGCTCAGGCTAGAGTGCAGTGGCATGCTCACAGCCACCCCAGCATCAACCTGCTGGGCTCTGGCGATCCTTCCACCTCAGCCTTCCAAGTAGCCAGAATTACAGGCACATACTACCACATCCGGCTAATTTTTTATTTATTGTAGAGACAAGGTCTCACCAAGTTGCCTGGGCTGGTCTCGAACCCTCGGGCTCAGGCAATCCACTCGCCTCAGCCTCCCAAAGTGCTAGGATTACAGGTTGGGCCTCTGAGCCTGGCCAATGATTCTTACTTAATGCATCCTCTTGGATGCCCTAAACTTCAGTAACTGATGCTTTGCTTCTTATTTATATGATAATCAGAGTGCATTGCACATATTTTCATTTACTTTTTATTAATATATAATTGTTCATATTTATTGGATACATGTAACATTTTGATAAATACATACAATGTGTAACGATCAAATCAGGGTATTTAGGATGTCCATCACCTCAAACATTTATAATTTGTGTTGGCAACATTTCAAATCTTCTCTTCTAGTTATTTTGAAATATACAATAAATTACTGTTACCTACTGTGCCATCAAACACTAAAACTTACTCTATTTTTTTTTTTTTGAGTTGGAGTCTTACTCTGTCATCTAGGCTGGAGTACAGTGGTACACTCACGGCCTCCACCCACTGGGCTCAGGTGATCCTTCCGCCTCAGTCTTCCAAGTAGCTGGAATTACAGGCACGCAGTAGCACAGCCAGCTAATTTTTTGATTTTTATTGTAGAGATGAGGTCTCGCCAAGTTGCCCAGGCTGGTCTCGAACCCGTGGGCTCAGGCAATTCTCTCACTTCGGCCTCCCAAAGTGCTGGGATTATAGGC